GTGAATACGTAAGACATTTAGACTACGCATGAAAGTGAACATATCTTCTTACGAAATGTCCGGCTAGCGTGGAAAGGGCGGAACACTATGTTGAATTGCCTATACATAAGGCTGACATCCATTATCTCCCTCCGGACACAACCCATGACAAAGCACTCTGTATGTAATGTACGTTTCATAACGCCAGTAAATATATCTGAAATCCATACGACATGTAGATTCAATTCTTTCCTCGTCCACACAGACATTATAGGACATCTATATCCACATCATCAGTTGAAACGAACTGGTCATATTTATGAATCAGAGCTCTCATTTTTCGTTATTAGTGCTATACAGGGAGTCAGTAGAAAAAAACCAGAAAGCTTTTATAGACTTCAACTTGTTCTCGAACCGAAGAGTGTGCTCTTCCAAGTAAAACTCTAGAAACATTCCATTTCTGCATAGCACACTGAGTACATCGAACAAAGTGTGACGAGCTAAAAACAAATATTTGAGCACTTATCTGGACCGATTTGAACTGCTTGTTCTTCACATCAAATACAGCGATTTCTCGGTGTAATTCTCTCTCAACTACTTCACTGTCTGATCTAATTTAGAAGATATTACTAGTGTGGATTTCAATAATTTTTTATCAGTTGACAAACACATATACTATTGAAGATGCCACAGGTATTTGGAGTATGACAGCACTTTAACCAGTAACACTTTCTTATGTGAATCGTACTCACCAAGCGAAATCAAAAGACAGAAGGGAGGAGGTTCGAAAATATATTTGATAGGCTGTAAATATATCGAAGATCGTCTGATCTGATCTAGCTAGTGATTGAATGGTCACAGGCCCTTCATGATCTACTCAGTGGAGAAGGAACTACTGTGGAGAGCAACTGGAAGGGGGTTAAAAAACAAACTATCACTTTGACATGCCATGAGGTTCTGGGCCACAAGAAGCATCATCACAAGGAATGGATTACTGTTGATACACTGAAAGAGATCCAAGAAAGGAGGAACAAGAAAGCAGCAATCAATACCAGCTGAACAACGGCAGAAAAAGCCGAGGCACAAACTGAATACACAGAAGTAAACAAACAAGTGATGAGGAGTATCAGAACCGACAAACGTAAATATGTGGAAGATTTAGCAACGACGGCGAAAAAGGCTGCAAGAGAAGGGAACATGATACAACTGTACGACAGGACAAATTAACTCTCTGTAAATCACCGTAAACCAGAGCGAACAGTGATAAGCAAGGAAGGCAACGTGATCACCAACATTGAAGAACAACGGAACAGGTGGATAGAACACTTCAAAGAACTCTTGAATTGATCAGCCCCACTGAACCCACCCAACATCGAAGCAGCACCCACGGACCTCCCAATCGATGTTGGACCACCAAAAGTTGAAGAGATAAGCATGACAACCAGGCAAATCAAGAGTGGCAAAGCAGCAGGACCAGACAACATTCCAGCAAAGGTACTGAAAGCAGACGTAGCGGCAGCTGCAAGGATACTCTACATTCTCTTCAATACGATTTGAGGTGAGGAACAAGTACCAACAGACTGGAAAGAAGGACTTCTGGTCAAAATACCAAAGTAAAGCGATCTCAGCAACTGTGATAACTACAGAGGCATCACTCTTCTCTCAATACCGGGAAAAATCTTCGACAGGGTTTTCTTAAACAAAATGCTCCATTAGGGGTAACAGGCGTAAGTAAGTAAGTATGTACATTATTAAGCTTTTCGAATGGGTGTGAATGATCTTAAATGACCTCATAGTGTTTTCTCCGTAACGTAAAGCTACTCGAGGCATTGAGCTACTACCATGAAATTTAGACCTGCACTATTACATAAGATTTAAGAGCCTTACGGTTTACTGAAAATGCCGATTCCTTGTGGCATTTTTACATCAAGCTGATAGATTGAATCGTAGATGAGGCGGGGTTATTCTGTACACGAAAAGTACCCTAAGCATAAGATTAGCTGAGACAGTAGCACATGTTCCAGGGGCATGTGAACTGGTGCGATGTAAGCTGAAATGTCAAAGGCAAGATATTGAATTAGTTGTGGTATATCGCAGTCCAGAAAGTGTATAAGATGATTTTCTCTTAAGTAAACTTAAGTCCTGGTGTAGCAAGGGTAAAAGCCTTGTAGTAGGCGACTTTAATGCATCATATGTAAACTGGGTTAACTTAGAAGTAGGGTCATCGATAACATCATTCGATTTCAAATTGTTAGCCACCTCGACTGGATTAGCTTTATTCCAACACATTAGAGATCCCACAAGATACGACTTAAGAAACTTTTCTCTTTTAGATTTAGTCTTCACACACGGTGATAACGTTGGTCGAATGACTTCCCTCCCACCCCTAGGGAGAAGTGACCTTGCAGTCATCTTATTTAAATTCATGGCCGAGATTGCCTGTCAAACAGTTGCACCGGCCTGACCTAACATATGGAAGGTAGATATGGAGGCAATCAACTCCGCAGCATCGGCTGAAAACTGGGAAATTAACTCAAAGGCATCAGTACAAGAGGCATGGATTCTTTTCAGGTAGTTATACAATTGGGTAAATCAACCATAAATACCCTGGACAGTCCCAAAGAAGAAGAAGCACGGCCATCCCTGGGTAGGCCGGGATATTCGACGTTTACCGAGACAAAAGAAGAAATGCTGGGATGTTGCCAGCCACCTTGGCACAGCAGGTACGGTGGAACGCTACAGATCGATAAGAAACGAGTGCATAAAAAAATTGGGGCAGCTCAAAGAAAATATGAAATGCAGCTGGCACAATCTGCACTCAAGCAGCCTAAGAGGATATTGTCGTACATAAACTACAGAACAAGGATTCCCAACCTAACTAAAGAAGGTAGTGAAACTGAAATTATAGAGGAAGACCAGGAAAAAGCAGAAGCTATGTCTGACTATTTTGGGGCAGTTTTCACTCAGGAACCAGACCGAAATAAACGGTCAACAAACCACCTGCTCACTGTGGACTTCGATCAAGATGATGTTTTTAAGGCTCTTAGCACCCTAAACATGGAGAAGTCAACAGGACCAGATGAACTACACCCCACAATATTGAGACATATTGCACAATATATCACGGCCCCACTGACTGTGATATTCAATATGTTACTTGACCAAGGTGTGTTACCTATGGAATGGAAGGACATAGTCGTCAATCTGATACAAAAAACAGGTCCACGACAAGTTCCATCAAATTACAGACCTGTAAGCCTCACTAGTGTTGTAGTTAAAATATTGGAAAGAATAATCAAAGGGACTATAATGGCATTTATGGAAACCAATAATTTGCTAAACATGGAACAACATGGTTTTAGGAAGGGTCTATCTTGTACGACGAACCTCCTTATAGTTCTGGATAAATGCTCTAGACAATGGAAACTCAGTGGATGTTGTCTACATAGATTTCAGTAAGGCTTTTGACAAGGTGCCAACTAATAGACTGCTATCGAAGTTAGAAAACTTTGGTTTTAACGGACCTCTTTTAAAATGGATTAAGGATTTCCTAGTAGGTCGTAGGCAGAAAGTAAGAATAAATTCCAAGTGCTCCATCTGGAGACCAGTACTTGGTGGGGTACCTCAAGGTTCAGTCCTAGGTCATTTACTTTTTATAATGTACGTTAATGATCTTACAAGTATAGTACAGTCTCCAATGTTATTATAGACTGACGATGTAGAAATCTGGCGAGTAATAACTGGAGACAAAGACTCATTTACTCTTCGGGCGGACTTAAATAATATGATAAACTAGTCTAAAGAGTGGTTGATGCCTATCAACGCGGCAAAGTGTGTCTACATGCACTTTGGGGATTCAAAGGTTAATAGGTACAACATAGGGGAAGTACCATTACCCGTATTCCGGTCTCATAAGGATCTAGGGGTGACAGTGAGTCATGATCTTAAGACGTCGGCCCATTGCCGAGAGGTCGCAGCTAAGGGGTTTCGAACCCTCTGGGCTTTAAAACGGACATTCACTAAGTTAGATACTACCATGTTCACCAATGCATATACATCCTTAGTGAGAACTACGCTTGAGAACTGCGTTCAGGCTGCAAGCCCCTGTTTAAAAGGTGACTCGGGTATCCTAGAAAAGTACAGAGAGCAGCTACCCGTGCAATTCCAGAACTCAGGGGTTTACCATACAAACAGCGGCTTGAAAAGCCAGACCTCTTTGCTCTGTCTTATCGCAGACTAAGTGGATATCTAATTTTGATGTACCGAATGCTGAGAAATGATTTTGGACCTCACTTGTTCTCTCTTTTCCCTCGCACTAGATCAGGACATCTCAGAGGACATAGCAGACGAGTAGAAAAGCCAAGAACGAACAAAATACTTGTGGCATACAGGTTTTCACACCGAGTCATCAATACTTGAAACCTGCTACCAGAAGCGGTGGTGTCCACACCTTCAATTGACACTTTCAAGAGAAGACTGGATACTCACAGAAGCATACTAGAAAAGGAATAACATAGGCCGTAGGCCTTCTGTACTTACAACACAAATCTGAAATCTGAACATATAGACGGCAAGTGGGGTTTTTCTTAATTTGTACATGAAAGAAGGGAGCAAATCCTGCCCAAATTTATTATAATTATACTCTTGTAACGAATTAACGGATTTGTACGGCACTTTCGTACATCCTATACCGAGAACTTCTGAGATAGGATTGTCTGTAGAAAAGTATCCGTTAGGTCGGTCGAAATCCCCTCAGAAGTACTTAACACAGTACTACTATTGAATAAATGGAGATAAGATTGGGGTGGTCACAAAAAAATGAAATATACATGCTCACCTCTTGCTTGCCATCGGTCGATAATAAAAAGAGCTGAAAGATAGACAAAAGCAATATGATACACATGACTGCATGTCATTCTGAATTTTTTGAAATACATAGATCTTTTGAAGACACACATATTATCAAGTTAAGCCAGTGTAAACAAACCTCACTGATCTGAGGCACTTCAAATATAAAATGACCGCCTTGAGGCGAACTCATTAGGGTCGCTGAAACGAAAGAGGGGCAATTTCAATTGCAAGCTAGCTAATGCTCTTGAGAAGAGCTAGTTCTGGTTCTCCTCTGTTTCCATCGTGCGAATCGCGCACCTTTATTCAAAATATTGGTATGCAAACGTAGTTACGGCCTGTTCACAGGTCTCTTGGTGACAGAAGACCCGAAAACGCCCTCCAAGGAGGATTTAATTAATCAAGATGGGCATCAAGAACATTTGTAAATTAGCTGGAAAGTCGGGAAAAATGATCGAGCATTATAGTAAATTTACTCCGGTTTCTTTGAGTTTGAAAAACCTTTTATCATTTGGTAATTTGAAGTAGACTTATCTTACACTGCGATTTCTTATCAGGTGAGACTGCGCCAGCCTCTAAGTCCTTCGATTTTCTGAAATATGAACTCCCAGTCCGACTAGGGAACATTATGCAGGAGATCCATCTCCTGCCCGATATCCTAAAAAAGTCAAGATCTGTTCAACAGATATGTTTATTGTAAGGTCGGCTCTTCTGCTTGTCATTTAAACAGGTATGAGGAGACATTCAATAGCCTTATCAAGTATGAAGAATGCTCGACAAAATCGCCTTCTACTTTATCCAGATTTACAGATGATATTGACCTTATCTTACAGAAGCATTCAGGCGTAGTTGAAATAATGGCATTGGTAAGCCCATTACATTTGATCTTATGGTACAGGGTATCAAAGAAATCCAAAGTAATGAATCGTGGTCTGAGTCACAAGAGTTGCAGCTACAGTATTTTCTGGATCGGTTTTACGTGAGTAGAATCGGTATCCGAACTTTACTTAATCAGCATTGTAAGTTTATATCATTCACGTGGTAGATAACCTGCAAGTGTGTTTCTGTCACCTATCATTTTGAAGTATTTGGTTTTATGCCTGGAGATGAGTATTGTTTTTCGGGTTTCGCCTACTTACGTCAATTATAGCGTAGGCGAGATATTCGTTTGCTAACTGAAAGATGAGCTTACTGCTCATCAGTCCCCCTCCCGTCTGTGGTTATAAAAAAATGCCCCATTAAAATATTAGTATATTTTTAGGTTATTAGTGTCCGATTATAGGTGCCCTTGAAGTATTGCTCGTGCATTTTGGGGTCATTGATCTAGCGATTCTGAGGCTAGGCATGGCAAGTTATTTGACGACGTAGTGAATCTTTATCAAGATGGTCGGGATATGTATTACACATACCCATCCACTGACTGCTTGGAAGCGCTATGATGGCTGATATTGAAGTAGCTTCTAAGAAAGCTGGTGATGGCTAAACCAAACTGTAGCATCAGTCTCTGAGGACACTGACTGTTGGACTGAGTCATGTAGGTCCAGACTACCTGGTTCAGGTCAGCGTGATTATCGTAACTGATGGTTAGAGACTGAATAACATGACTAGAAATGTCTCTCAATGGCGCAAATACATTCACTCTTTTTCTTCCCTCATACCCTAAGTTTATAAACAAGCGCTTACTCTTTACTTCATTAATTTACATTTTTTTTCGAGTTGTATTTTGGATGCATTATTTTTTCCATTACCATTGTTACTGTTACTGCATCTACTACTCTGGGATTTGTTCTAACAATCTTATCTCGCTGTGCTAATGATGTGTGACGACTAACCAGTATACTAATTTGTCAGTTCCTACCTTGTGTTTGACTGATTGATGGTTTGTTTACATCCTGAAAAACTAGTCAGCACAACTAATCCTGGTACATAAAGTTTTAACCGAGAATTTTACACATGAATATGTACTCTGAAGTTGACAGCTACACGTATCTTTTCTCGTTTTTGAAATCCGTATTTCTTGTCATAACCGTTTCTGAAGTACTTTGCTTAAAAATGCACTCCAAAATTATAGATGTATTTATACTTATATGATCAATTATAGATTGCCAAAATGTTTATGGTTAGGGGGACTATTTATGGGCCAAGTTGGTCATCGTGCTGACTTGATAATCCTACATGGAAATCACAGTCGATATATATATATATAGTCCACTGTAAGGATGATCTCAGTTTCCTCACCAACCCGACAAGTGTGTTACCTGTGAATCTGGAGTTCTTATATGATACTCTATAGTGTTCTGATATAATTAGATTTCTGCACTGAATTTCAGGACAAGAGTTTGCTATCGTTTTAAAACTTACTAAATGAAAATCTAAATGTGAGAAATGGTTCAAAAAAGCAGTTTTTTACTAGCAAACATTCGTGAATTTTTGTTCATGTAGAGTTACAACTGGACGTTTAAGCTTGGATTATTCTATACTAATGTAGCCTGAAATACAAACTTGTTGTATGTCAGTGATTTAACATTAGTTTTTAGTGATCCCAACTCAGTAAAATTTTATTGGCTCTAAGATTTGTGAACTAAAACTTCAATGCTTTCTCGTAGAATAGTTGAGTGAAGCATATTCTTTTGTATTAAGTCTTACCTAACTGGTATGTTGAATGTGATGTTTCCAGCGTATATACTGATGAAGATCATTTCGAGATATTTATTAGTATCATTATTATAAGGATGTTCCTATGGTCTTGTTTTGCACATGTATGTTTTACGTACCGAACTCTGACCATTACAGTCAAGCTATATGGACCCACATTCTGCAACGTACAATCTCACGTTGGGGGTATCGATCCAGATTGTAGCCCAGTTCAAATCGCAGTAAATGCATACAATTATTCCAGACCACTGTGTATTCAGGCGTATGGTCGTGCTCCGGGGTGTGACATTGAAATCCACGATTGTGTAAATAAAGAGCGTGCATCTGGTAGTTTCAACAAAATTGATTTGTGTGTGGATGCAGCTGGTCATGCGTCGACCAAATCTTATCTTTTGGACAACCAAAGGAACTGTGCAGATTTGTCTGTGAAGGGGAAAGACATAACATTTTGTTATATACCTGGTCATTTGTTTTATATATTGTATGAATTGTTGAAAAATTCAATGAGAGCTGTTACTGAGAATCATAATAATGATGCTCACTTGCCAAGAATACACATTCTTATATGCAACGGACCTGAAGATATCGTTATTAAGGTGAGAAGTTCAGCTTAATTTTAGTGTAATATTTTAGTGTACTATTTTTAACTCATAGTGCCAACACGTCATAGCGTCCTTGTGGTTATTTCTAATTAGATTTATTTAATAAAGTATATTCGGAAATTCCAGTCTAGCAGTCTTCAATTTTAAATCACTTCTAATCACTGAACTTGATAAAAACAATTTTCTAAGGTTTTGGCTGATTTACGATGTTATTCCTAACCATTTAAGTAAGAGTCGCGGGAGAATGTTTATAAAACCAGTCTTACATGTCAACCACAGGCATAAATTTACATCGGCACCAGTTTCCACGACACAACTCAGCATAATGAGAGGAAATTAACACGTTAAGTAGCAGAGATGTTCAAGGGACAGTAATACAAACCTTAATAAAATGACTAAATAGATAAATTTATTCTAGAAAGGGAAGTAAAATTAATAAACAAAATGTATAAAAGAGTATTGAGAAAATCTAAATGTAGGGGAAGTGAGCATATTCTCGTCACTGCTAATGATTTCGATTTGTCATCTGTTTTTAACCGATATACTTTGTCTCACGGGCTCCAATCAGGTAGTCAACACCCCCACACACTGCTCGAATCAAGAGTTCATAACTGTATGGACTGATACTACATCTTGGTCTGACCTCTCCTAGTTTTCTTTTAACTTGCCCCTATGTCAGCGATGATTGCGCATTGAGTTAGTTTGTAAGACTCAAATATCGCTATTGCTTGTGAGTAACTAAAAAGCAATCAACTGAGTTGCTTGGAAAGTAAACTGGGAAATGTCATATATAGAATGTTTGAACTGTTTAAGAAAATTAAACATTTTTTGGATATATTGCGAATAGGACAATCGTGTTCTGTGTACTCATTTCTATCATCCCTACTCTTTTTCAGCCTGTTTTTTATCGCTTTTCATCTACTGTTAGAATTCATTCTCATTATTCCTAAACCGTTAATGTTATATTTCTAGTATATCGAATGTAATTAGTTTACCAGTGTTATAGTTTCTCTCATTACGGCCCAGCAACTATTGCTTAGTATTTTTGGACACTGCTTCACTCGACAAGTCCCCAAATCAGAACACGGTTGAACAGGAACGTAATTATATTCAAAATAAAAAGGTTGGATGGAATCAGGTGTCACAATAACAGAAACGTTAGTATATTTATAGTTTTTACATGAAAGTATCCATTAGCGCTGATCGTATAAGAAATAGTCAATCTGTGTGACCCAACATAATCCCGTACGGAATGTGCTTTAATCCAATCTATATTCTGCTAACAATCAGTCACAGATGATCTTGATGACAAGTTGTATGCACGTCTCATACGAACGAAACCCTTGTTTAATAATGTTATGATTGTCTTTTAGCAAGAAAAATTTTCAATTCGTTTCTGCATATACAAGGTTCACCACATCTCAGTAACTATATGTCATACCTTGTGGCCTATGCGCCCTGCTAATGTATAACGTAACGATACCGCCAATTATAGTTATGATTTACCGATCGAACCAGTGACGCATAAACCCGTACGAGCAGTCTAGAGTCCTTATTGATCCTATTTCCTTCCTAGCCCAGCCAGTTAAGTCCAAAAGACCAATCTCAGCCTTTGCAATATGAATCATTTATTTCAAGCATACTGGGTTTATATACCAACCAGACCATACCGTGCCATGAAATAGGAAACAACATTTGTACAAAATTTAGCCAAATGTGGCTGTGAATGTGGTAGGTAGTAATTAATAGACAGGGCATAATTCAAGAATGGTAAATCGTAGAATAATAGTTCATAGATCAAAGTAAGGCTCATAATAAGAGGGACATGAATATGAACAGTTTATCTATTTAACAATTATACGGTAAAAATATACGCATAGTATTGGTCCATAAATGGATCCCAAAGTTACCATTGATTATGCTTATCGGGGCATAACACTTTAGTCCCTTATGATATTGTCAACTTGGTACCCCATTTTTCTGTTTTATTTTTGTTACACGTTTCTGGTTTATCTAATTTGTACACCAATTATATAGTTGTATTAGTTATTATATCTTATACTTACCTAAGCCAGTATTATTTATTTATTTATTTGAACACATAAATATTGGTACAAGAGAGCGCCAATATATATGCGCCACACAAAACAATGAAAATTCAAAGAGAGATAGAAAAAAAAACTAAGGACCACAAAAGGTAGTGTGGTCGTAACGATGGAACAGAAAGGTACAATCAGAAGAAATCTTTCAAGTAAGGGAGACACAACCACTATTATGAAGAAAGTAAAAGAAGGTTACAGCAGGATCGCCACTGGCTTCTATTCTGAGCCATATCTGATAACGTCTCTAGCCACTGTGTAGCACCATCTCTCAGACCCCAACCAGGGAGTCGTGAAGGACCGACAGAAGCCAGTCCTTTGCAGCTTTCTTTCATACCACGACACCATGTCATGCACTGACCACCTCTCCGCTTTTTCCAACCAGTCCCAGAGTCGGCAAATAATGCACGACGTGGAATTCTCTGGGACGACATTCGTAGAACATGTTCAAGCCACCGAAGTCGGTGTTTCAAGATGGTGACACCAATTGAATTATCATCTCTGTGCCCAAAAACACACGATGCCGAACCTCTGCATTACTGACATGGTGTTGCCACTGAATGTCAGCAATCCTTCGGAGACAGCGATGATCGAACACAGAGAGTCGTCTAACGTCCTCAACTCGGAGAGGCCAGGTTTCACAAGCATAGAGCAAAACTGCTCTCACCGACGCGTTGTAGATCCGACCTTTTACAGCCAGACTAACATCACGAAGGCGCCAAAGATGGCCCAGATTGGCATAAGCCGCTCTGGCTTTCACTATACGTGCATTGATCTCATCACTCACACCCCCACCAGCACTTATGCAGCTACCCAGATACACGAACTTCTCGACTACGTCTATCTGCTCACCATCCAGGGTGAGTACAGGATTGGAATCCTGCCAGTCTTGTAGAAGTACTTTGCACTTCGAAGGTGCAAAGCACATACCATACCTACGGACACTGATTGCCAACTGATTAAGTGCGGATTGCATGCCTTGGGCATTATCGCACAGTAAGACAATATCGTCCGCATACTCAAGGTCGAGAAGTCTTTCTCCAGGCAACAGATCCACACCACCATTACTTACGGCTATCAGAGCTGTTTCCAGAATGTCATCGATGGGAAAGTTGAAGAGGAATGGTGAGATTGGGCAACCCTGCCTAACCCCACTACTCGAATGGAACAATGGAGAGAGGTGGTTGTATGCCCTCACTCTGCCTGAGGTGTTTTTATATAGGGCTTTTAGGATGTTAATAAACTTCTCAGGCACACCCTTCTTCAATAGACAATCCCAGAGAACAGTCCTGTCCAACGAATCGAAGGCAGCCCTGATGTCAAGAAACACTACGATTGTTGGCCTTTGATAAGTATGGCGATGTTCTAACATTTGGCGGAGGGTGAAGATATGATCAATACAACCTCGACCAGAACGAAACCCAGCCTGCTCCTCGCGAGTCAATCTTTCTCGGGTTTTGAACAACCTACGAACTATGACGGAAGCCAATAGCTTGGACGCAATCGGAAGTAGACTTATCCCCCGATAGTTGTTGCAGGAACGACGTGAACCCTTTTTAAAGATAGGGACAACTATCGACTCATTCCATGACGTTGGTACACTCTCTAATTCCCAAACCTTTGTAAACAACGACGTCAATTCCTTAGTCAAAAAGTCACCACCATCTTTAAAAAGAGCCGGAGGTAAGTCATCTGGGCCAGATGATTTGTAACGCTTCAAGAGTTGGAGTTCCTTGCGGACTTCCTCCTCGTTTGGTGGATCAGTCGTCACCGGCCATGGAGGGCAGGACAGTCTGACCGATGTTGCCGGAGCAGCAGGCCAGTTGAACTGCCCTTCGAAAAATTCTGCCCATCGTCCAAGACGTCGAAGGATGTTAGTGATTGGCATCCCATCATCCTCGCAGATTGTTTCACTCACACCAGACTTCTTGCTGCCAGTAACTCGGATGAGCTGGAAGAGCTTCCGGTAGTTACCAGATGCAGCTGCTGCTTCCAGCTCATTAGCACGCTCCGACCACCAGGCTTCTCGGTCCTTACGCAAGCTTTGCCCAATTTCCCTACGTAACATCCTTCGTTTACGGTCAAACTCACGGTAACCCGGAGTGGACCGACGGGCTTCGATGAGTTGTAAGGAACCAGAAAAAACCCAGTGCTTAAAAGCGGGACGTTTCGCAAACCCACAACTGACTGTTCCCGCCATTTTCATGGCGTCAAGCAATTGCAGCCAATGCTCATCTATACTTTTCGGTGGGGTGGTAGCTAGCCTAGAGGCTAGCTCGGTTCGATACTTACTTGCAACAAAAGTTGCAACCAACTTGCTGACATCAATCCTCTGATGGTGGTCACTTCGTTGTCCACTGAAAAGTAAGGCAAGATTGGCGCAGACCAAGGCATGGTCAGAGTCCAGATAGGTACTCCAAAAGGAGCGGCAGTCTTTTACACAACCACGCCAGCGGTAGCTGATCGCGATGTGATCAATCTGAGTCCAGGCTTGGGATGCCGAGGGAGGACGCCAGGTGGCACATCGGCGATGACTGTGCCGAAAGTTAGTGCTAGCCAGAAACAGGTTGTGGTCTGTGCAAAGTTGCAGTAGACGGTCCCCGTTATCTGACCTGCGACCAACGAGTCCCCATCGGCCACCTAAACGACTCTCTTCTGTGCCTAGACGCCCGACCTGAGCATTCAAGTCTCCGGCTAGTACTACAATATCTGTCGAGCGCACTTTCTGGAGAAGAACAGATAACTGGTGGTAAAACTCATCCTTGATTGCATCCGGGCTGCAATCTGTCGGGGCATAGGCAGAGATGACGAAAAGACATCGTTTCTCACGCCGATTTTTTCTCACTTTGGTGGAACTTTCTAATCTAACAGCACATAGCCGACTGTTAATGGGGA